CTACAAAGGCAAATTCAAAGCTCATACATATAATAACAATAATAATAATTCAAGATAAAGAGCTTCTCAACAACCCCAATCATCTTGAGAGGTGGCAAAAAAAAAAAAGGCCTAATTTGCAGCTCTTTCCCACGTCCCACGCATCATCATCATCCCCACCCAGTCCAAGAAACGGAACATCCTTCCGAATATTCCTTCTTTTGAGTCTCTCTCCCCTCCTTCCATTCCCAGTCCATCCGCTTCCACATCTCCTCTGTTTTTTGCGGATAAACACTTTTGTCTTGTTATCCATTAATTTGCTGAGCATATCTCTATCGGCAATAATGTCCAATCTCAATCTCAGTCTCAATCTCCACCGCTTTTCGTTTCTCTCTAGAATCGATTCCCTCTATATTTAGTAGAAGCAAGATCATACATTTCTTCAACCGAAGCAAGATAGAAGGAAATCATGTCTTCTCAATCCTCTCAATTTGGTCAAGAACTTCTGATCCAGAAGCTTGATGTCTTTAAGATCCAAGGCAAAGATAAACGAGGCCGAAGCATCCTCCGTATTACCGGAAAGTTCTTCCCTGGTAATTTAATCAACTCTCTCTCTCTCTCTCTATATATATATATATATGATTTTGATTGATTTTCTTGGTTATGTTATCAGCTCGGATTGTGAGTGTTGACTCTCTGAAGAAGTATCTGGAAGAGAAGATCTTTCCTAAACTGGAGAAGCCTTTTTCTGTGTTTTACGTGCACACCGATGTTCAAAGGAGCGAGAATTTTCCAGGAATCTCAGCCCTACGATCGATCTACGATGCGATTCCGATCAACGTCCGGGAAAATCTGGAGGCTGTCTACTTCCTCCACCCAGGTCTACAATCCAGGCTCTTCCTCGCCACCTTTGGCCGCTTCATTTTCAGCGGAGGGTAAACATTCTCTCTCTCTAACACTCCAGGCGCATTTTAGCATTTGCGTAGCGATTAAATCTAACTTGCGCATTGACCTGTTTCCAGTCTGTATGGAAAGCTGAGGTATGTGAGCAGGTTGGACTACCTGTGGGACCACGTGAGACGGAACGAGATTGAGATTCCTGAGTTCGTGTACGATCATGATGAGGATCTGGAATACCGTCCGATGATGGACTATGGTTTGGAGAGTGATCACCCGCGGGTGTACGGTGCGCCCGCAATGGATTCCCCTGCGCCAACGTATTCCATGAGGTGTATCTCATAAGAAGAAGAAGATTGACGACGCCGTTTGACGGTTTGCCTTGGGAGTAATTTTGTAATGTAGTAGGGTTTGTTGGCGTGGGTTGGCCTTTTTTTGTCGTGTTTGAAGGTTTTTTAAGGGGGAGGATAGTTTGTACATAATGTGAATTTGGAATGGCAACTACTGTGTTTTGACTAGAATTTTCGTCTTAAAACACTAACTACATTATAGTGTAAAGGGTAAATTATAAATATAGATTGCCTCTTATAATTGAAAAAATTATAAATATTTTTATTAGAATTTTTTTATTTAATAAAATTAATTAAAAAAATAAAATTTATAATTATTTTTTTATACAATAATAAAATTATTTAAATTATTAATTAAAAAATATTTTTAATATTATTAAAAATTATTAATTGACTTGATGATTTATTAATAATAAAATAAATAATTATTTGTATTTTAATTAAATTTTGTAATTTATCCTAATATAAAAAATAAATTTTAAAAAGCATCCATTCGGATCAATATAGGTCCTATAGCATGAATCCCTCATACTATGCTAGTTATCACTATTTTTTTTTTACCTTTTATCCTAATATAAAAAATAAATTTTAAAAAACATCCATTCGGATCAATATAGGTCCAATAGCATGAATCCCTCATACTATGCTAGTTATCACTAATTTTTTTTTTACCTTACTAGTTTCAGTTGCAAAATCTTTTATATAAAATCCCAAAAAGAAAACTTGTTAAGTGTGTTATCTCACTATAATATACGTATGGTTGTCGGTCAAACATTGAATTCATTTAGTTTTAAAAAGAATTATGAAGGAAAAGGGGTAGATAACCAAAAATTAAAAGAAATTTACCTTTGTTTCATTTCTTCTTTGTTTTGCTTTTTTCTTTGTCCATACCATTTTTTAAAAAAAGTCCTTAATTCAAACCAACTTTGAAATTTGAGAATTTAATGTTTGAATTTGTGAATTTGATAGGGATTTACTCTAATCAGCAGATTTGAGTGCTATTTGTTCACTTAATAGAATGTTAGGCTTCGTTTGTTTTGAGAGACTGAGGTATGATTAAGAATGAGATAGAGGTGCGATCACTATATGTTGTGTTTGTTTTGGGAGATGGAGAGGAGATTCATAATCCCATGGATTAGGATGGGTTTTGGTATTGGAATTGAGATGGAGGAGGTGGAGATGGTATTAGGAAATTAGTCTCATGGGATTAGGTTTTTTTATTTTATTTTATTTATATGTTGGGTATTTTTTTAAATATTAATGTTTAATATTTTTGTATTTTTTGTTAAGTAAAAATCATAATTTTATTTTTTTTAATATTTTATATATTTTTTTTATAGAGTAATAATTTAACAATTTTCACATTAACAATTATCATAAAAATAAATATAATTTTACTTAATTCTCTCACTATCAATTCTTTTCATTTTATTTCTGAAAACGAACGTGACTTTAAAGAGTTTGATTTTTTGGAAGAAATTTCACAAAGGCGAAATATCTCATACCTATAAAAAGTTATTTTGAAACTATCATCCAAACTTCGGAGCCTAAAATCAGTACTTTTAATGGAAAGAAGATAAAAAAGCGTTACAAAAATCTTAATATTATGAAACTATATTATAACAACGTTCCTACAGGATCCGAACATTTCAAGCTTGAATTTGTTCTGAATTTAAAATAACGTCGTTTTAGATTATTTTACCGATAAGAGAATTGTAATATATCTTACCGATAAGAGAATTTTATTACATATTACTGATAAGAGAATCCAAAGCGACGTCATTTTGAGTTTCGAGTTAATTTCGAGCCAAATAATTTCGGGCCTTCAAACATTTTTCATATTATAATTGTCCCAAAAACCACGTGCCATATAATTTTTTAAATTGCAAGGAAAGTAGTGTAATTTATATTGTTTTTAGTTGGGTGTTTAGAAGGGAGCAACAAGTGTCAATAACCAGTCAGTACCAACAAAATAAAAATAAGGGGACTATGACAGAAGCTATGTTGATTGCAGGTTTGGGAGGGTATTGGGGTAATAATTCTTGAGCTCCATGTAATCATGTATGGTGGTGAAAAAATGATATGAGATTACATATAAAAAATGATATGAGATTCCGAGTTATCTGGGACTTTAGATGCCAAGAGCTAGATTTGCATTCTAATAACGAGGGAGTTTTTAATTCAATGCCATAGGATTAAAAATAAAAAATAAATTATTATTTTTATTTTATAAAAATATTAAAATCATCCTTTATATAATAAGAACTTTATTACAATTTCATAGATTTAATCATAAACAACTAAAATCACCATATATATACACTAATATATGAAACAAAGGTTGTCATATCTTTTTTTTTCTTTTAATGAAATGTCCTAAATTGAATCATATTTACAAATCTGTAACTATCAAACCATATTTAAAGTCGATCAAACACTAAAATTTTAAAACTATTTTCTAACAGAGCAATGTTGCATCTCTCAATTTTCTCTCCCAACTACTTTTAATGATGTAACAAATAATACCTAACCAATCAACTATCTGCAAATTGTTTGCCATACCACTGGGAGAGTTTAGGGGGGAAAAAATTGAAGGGATGGAGCATTTTAGTAATCCCATCGATCTATCCCATTATGCTTAATACTTATAATCCCAATTAGTCTAAGCAATCAAGCATGATTAAAGTGGCAAAAAGAGGATGTTGACCATTTGCACATAGAGTAATCAACATCAGCATGTGACTGTGAGGATGTGTTGAACAAGTCAAGTTTGTTTTTTTTTTTAAGATATGCCTCTGTTCAGTTTTTCAATAAGTTAGGAATTATCCTAGTGTAACGGCCCAAAACGTATGTCACAATTATCCTTAATTAATTATGCGATAATATGAATTAATTGGAGAATATTTGTTTGAATTGGAAAAAAATATTTGTCGGGACTACAACTTCGGGACTGAAATTGACGACCATAATGGGTTCGGAAAATGAAATTGAACACGCCTATGTGTTACCGGGAATTTTTAGAGCCATTTGGGAATTTAATTGAAAACTGATTTTTGTCTGATTCATTAGGCCATGTTTGGCTCAATTTTTAAGCACAAATATAAAACTAAAGAGATGGACCCTTGTTTGACTCAACACAAAAGAGGAAAAGGAAATCTAAAAGAGGAAGAGAGTTCTAGAGAAAACGTGAACCAAGGGGAAGAAGAAGAAGGAAAGGTGATCAAGCTAAATCTTCACCCATTAAACCATCCAAGGTAAGATTTGCCATCTAATTCCATGAATCTATGTTGTATTACCTTTGACATCTAGCAAGCTAAGGAGTTTCATGGTGTAGATGTTTGTTAGAACTCTCATCTCAAGATCTTGGCATGAATTCATGAAATTCTTGTGCATATGTATTTACTTTTCACTTAGTTATTTAATTGAGAGTAGTCTCCATGAATTTTGAGTTTATATGCATGTATTATGATTTTCCATCCTAATTCAAGGTTTGATGCTTTACATGAGGCATTTGGATTTTGTTTGGAAGTTATGATTTTTATTTGAAGCTAGAGATGAGAAATTCAAGTGGTTTTCAAATGTTTTGGGCCTTGATTTTCATGATTTTGAGGTTGATTTGGCAAAAAGAAAGACCCACGGTTTAGCAGAAATTCGGACTGGTTTTTCACCCAGACCGCTCGAGCGGCCTGGGCTATCGCTCGAGCGGCCAAACAGTGTTTTGGCTACTGCAGTTCCACTGCTCGTGCGGCCTGGGCCACCGCACGAGCGGCCAAGCCACCGCACGTGTGGCCTGGGCCACCGCACGTGCGGCCAAACAGTGCACATTTTCCAATTTTATTTTTGTCTCATTTTCTAACTTCCGGGCCTTCATTTACTTGATTTTCACATGTCATTTGCATCCATTAGCATCTCATAAGCATGAAACAAAGTAAAGAAAGAATAGAATGGCATTAACTAATTGATTCGATGGCAAAATGTGTTAAGGAATTGTGTTATAATGTTGGTATTTGTAGGTCGAAACTCGAAGACTGTGCAACCGGTTTTGGAAGCCCATTGTGAGTAACATTTTTGTAAAGTTATGTTGATAAAAATTATGTTTTAACTGTTATTGATACACTATGTTTCCTCAAAGTGCCATCTTGATTCTGTGAACGAATATTCTATTTGTGAAACTAGTATGGCATCTACGGATAGTCCCAAGTCATGGGGGACGGCACATTAGTGCGGGTCCATGACATACACGTGATACGAGATCTCGTTAGCCACTTCATTGTGGTGATATGTGTTAATCGGTAATCGGAACCGATTCTCTAGTCGGAAGACGATATATGTTGTATCCTGTGAGATGTACCATTATGTTATGTTCTGATATGAATGTTTATGAATGATTTATTTTATGAATACCTTATATGTGGAATTCGTTCACTACCCCTTTACTTTAATGTTATTCACTGGACTTTAGCTCACTGTTTGTATATATATGTATTATAGGTGAGCGTTCTGGGAGTCAAGCCTAGGTGGAGTCTTGAACCGAGCCGCCGTTTTGGAAGCCTACCAGGTGTTTTGTGTGCCTCCGAGCTGGGGCTAGGCCTGGAAGGCCGTCTGCAAGCTTTGTTTTTGTTGTACACTTGTGGCACGTGACTATGTTTTGTGCTTGTTATTTCGTTATATGTTATGTAATGTAAGTGGGTAAATTAACATTTTTGGCATGTAAATATTTGTTCATATATATGCACAGCTCTTTGGACTTATCGTATTTTGTCTTTGCTTCCGCTAGCCCCAATTATTTACATTTTGTACAGGAAGACCTGTGGTAATCTTGGATTACTGGCCGGTTACGATACCAAACTTTTAGGGGCGAGTTTGGGTCGTGACACCTAGTCTTAGGGAGGTTGTTGCAGCATGTTGCTGCACATGTTATCTTTCTGTTTTTATTTTTTAGTAAGTTTCTGTTGATGGTTTTGCCTATAAAAGGCTTGTGTCAGGTGAAGTATTATGATTACCATCACATCAATAAAAGTATTTCTTTCCTCCTCTGTTTGCCTCATTTATAAACTCTGTTCCACATTTGGTATCAGAGCCAGGTTGAAGAGGGAGTGTTGAGAGTGTGTGAGAGTAAAACACGTGAGGAAAAGAAAGAGTAAGATGGGTGATCTTAGTGTCATTGGCGG